GTGACACTGTGTGGCCATGCAGGGTAATGCACAGAGCAGTTCCTTAAGGAGCAACAGTGACACTGTGTGGCCATGCGGGGTAATGCACAAAGCATTTTCTTCATGAGGGGTCGGGGTGGAGGTGTGGATGAGGGGTTTGGGATGTTGGAGGGGCTTAAGGCTGGGGCAGAGGGTTGGGATGCGGGGTTCAGGAGGGGGCTCAGGGCTGGGGCAGAGGCTTGGGATGCGGGGGGAGGGGGGAGAGCTCTCACTGGGGGTTCAGGCTCTAGGGTGGGGCCAGGGAGGAGCAGTTTGGGGTGCACGCAGGCTGCCCTAGGGCTGGTGCCAGAGGACTCCCCCCAGCAGGAGGGCCGACAGGGAGGGAGCAGGGGGCTCCGGAGAAGGGCCCGCTCTCCCCCTTGCCGGCAGCAGGGAGCTCCGGGCCTGGGGAGAGGCCCACAGCAGCCCTGCAAGCCCCAACTTGCTCCCCTCCCCAGTTCCCGCCCACCCCTACCTCTCTCCTCTTCAGGTCCCTGCCGCGTGACCCTTTAGAGCTGCTGCACGGCTAGTTATAGCCAGCTGCGCGGCCGCGCAGCTTAGAGGGAATTTAGCGCACTTAGGGTCGATGGGAGCCGCCACTGGCTCGCGGGCCTTGCAATGCAGAACACTGATTTATTATCTGAATTATCATAGCAAATGGCCCATGACCCCATTGTGCTAGGCGCTGTACGCAAAGGGAATAAAGAGACAGTCCCTGCCCCTGCCCTAGTCTATGCCATCTCTAACATTAACAGCTCCTGGCTAATGTCCCATGTAAGAGACAGCCCCAAATCCCTGCCTTTGCATCTCCTCTGAACAACACGGGAATAGCAACACTTGCTTCTCCAGCCCCATGACGCACCCAAACAACCCTGTAGTTCAGTTAACAGCACAACTGCAGGGGCTGGGGGCGCTGCCCTCACAGGTGTTCCCCTTACCTTGCGCTTACCCTTACCTGAACGTAAGAATGGCCCTACCGGGTCAGACCCAGGGTCCATCTAGCCCAGTATCCTGTCTTCCCACAGTGGCCAGTGCCAGGTGCCCCAGAGGTAATGAACAGAACAGGGAATCATCAAGTGATCCATCCCGTCGCTCATTCCCAGCTTCTGGCAAACAGAGGCTAGGGACACCATCCCTGCCCCTCCTGGCTAATAGCCATTGATGCATTTATCCTCCGTGAACTTATCTAGTTCTTTTTTGAACCCTGTTATAGTCTTCGCCTTCACAACATCCTCTGGCAAGGAGTTTCACAGGTTGACTGTGCATTGTGTGAAGAAATACTTGCTTTTATTTGCTTTAAACCTGCTGCCTATTAATTTCATTTGGTGACCCCTAGTTCTTGTATTATGAGAAGTAGTAAACAACACTTCCTTATCTACTTTCTCTACACCAGTCATGATTTTATAGACCTCAATCATATCTCCCCTTAGCCGTCTCTTTTCCATGCTGAAAAGTCCCAGTCTTATTAATCTCTCCTCATACGGAAGCCGTTCCATACCCCTAATCAGTTTTGTTGCCCTTTTCTGAATCTTTTCCAATTCCAATATATCTTTTTTGAGATGGGGTGACCACATCTGCACACAGTATTCAAGATGTGGGCGTACCATGGATGTATATAGAGGCAACATGATATTTTCTACCCTATCTTTTAACCAGTTACCAATCCATAAGAGCACCTTCCCTCTTATCCCATGACAGCTTACTTTCCGTAAGAGCCTTTGGTGAGGGACCTTGTCAAAGGCTTTCTGAAAATCTAAGTACACTATAGCCACTGGATCCTCTTGGTCCACGTGCTTGTTGACCCCCTCAAAGAAGTCAACGTTCAGTGGTCCGGCGCTTCTCCCTGTTGTCTGCGTATGTCCCTGTCATAAACATACAACTAAGGGTAGCATAAAATCCCTCTTTACCCTGTAAAGGGTTAATTCCTCTTTTACCTGCCCTGTTGTCATTTGTGCCCCCTAAACTCGCACCCTGCTCTGCCATTGCCTGAATGTGCTGCAGAATGGGGGTCTCTTGCAGGGCAGACAATGCATTGCCTCTGCCCTGGTGCAATCTAGCCTAGCTGGGTCCTCCTCCTTCGAGGGGAAGGAGGACCGGTCATCAGGCTGAGCAGGGCTGACTTTGTCAGCTCCTTGGAGTTAGATGACTGGATTAAAGAGCACTAGATCAGCGTCATAAGTAGAAAAGCATATGCTTGTCCAAAAAGCCCCTGACAGATTGCAGCCTGCAGTGGTCTAAAGATGTACGGAGCAACTTGGCACCACATCAGCCAGTAAACCGATTGCCCATTGAGCTGGAAATACAGACGTATCAACTGCAAAATGGAACATGCAAAAACAGCAACAAAAGTCTGGTTTGTGATCAATACAACGCTGGCAACTGCACTGCCAAGGTCACCCAGCGTCCCTGGGCTTACCCCACTGGGCTCAGAGCTGCAACTCCTCCTGTATTTTTATAGCCCCCTTCAGCTCTCAGCAGCCATGGGTGGTGGGGGAACTCCCACAGGCCCATGCCACAACAGATGGACCCCAGAGCTCCCAGCCGCCGCAGGCAGACTGGAGTTCCGCAGCCCCATGCCATTGCAGATGGACCCTATAGCTCCCAGCCATCACAGGCGGACCCTAGAGCTCCCATTTGCCACATGTCGCAACGGGACCCAGGAGCGCCCAGCCACTGTGGGCAGGGGCAGGGCCCCACAGCTTCAGCTGCTGCAGGCAGCAGGGGAACCCCACAGGCCTACACCACTGGGTATGGAACCCAGAGCTCCCAGCCGCTGCAGGTGGACCCAGGAGTTCCAAACAGCCATTGATGGCTTGGGGACCCCACAGCCCCACGTCATTACAAATAGACCCCTGTAGCAAATATGATCCTACCCCCTCTCTAGGGTGCCACTGACACAAAACGATCTAAAAAAAACTACTTATGAATCACTATTGGTTGGCACCCCATTGCCACCCGTACTTCTATGCTGCTGCTGGCCAAACCCTCCTGCCAAAATCTAACCCCCAACCCAAAGTTTTAACCACCCCCCCCCCCGAAACCGGAGCCCAAATTGCACCAAAAATTGCTCACCCTGGTCCCCAACCCTAAACCCCTTAACCCAAACCATAGCCCAATCCTCCCCCCAACCCTAACCGTGAGCTCTGAGCCCAACCCTGCTAAACCTGACACCCTCCCCCTCGCAACTCCCACACTGTGCAAACCCCCAGAAATCCTGCTTCGTACTGGATGCCCAGCTACAGGGACTTCGCTCACACACACAGAAACGGATTCTGCAGCTACAAACATCGCGCGTGTTCGCTGGCAGCGCCCACCGCAAAGCAGGGAGTTCGGTCCAACCCCCAGCACCAGCGGCTGCGCCAACGGGCCTGTGGCTGGTTCGCTGCCCACAGGATCCTCGCGCCTGGCGATTTCCTGCCTCTCTTCAGCGACTCCAAACGGTCCCGGGGCTTCGAGAAGTTTCTGAGCCACAGTGCCTGCAGCAGCGATCTCCACCCCCAGGCAGTGACAGCCCATTGGCTGCCAGCTCGGTCAGAAAACGTCACCTAGTGACAGCCCATTGGCTGCCAGCTCGGTCAGAAAACGTCACCTAGCGACAGCCCATTGGCTGCCAGAAAACACCGGCGCGCGCAAGCGGGCGCAACCTGTGAACACCCCCCTGCGGCTTTTCGCCAGGCAGGACAGCAGTGCCTGCTGCTGGGGGTCTCCGTTCCTCCGCCCGGGCAGCCGGAATCGGCTCCACTCGGCCTCGACCTGTTTCTTGCGGGCATTCGCTGAGCTCTGACTGCACAAGGCCCTGATGGCTCCGCCCAGCAT